TACAACACCCTTGGTTCCGGAAGTGTTTGTCCAATAAATTTTTACCTTAGGGATTAAAAAAAAAAAAAAGTTATAAGCCTTTATAAGCCACAACTTTGATTTGAAGCAAAAAAGTGTTTGAAAATCAGACAAAAAGACAACGGTTCAAAATTGTGTCATTAACAGCACTACAAATTACATAGGCCTAATGGATTCAAAAACATCAGAAAAAAATATAAAACTGATTATTTTGTATAATATATTGTTTATTTCAAAATATGCATAACATACATTAAAATATTTCAGTAGTTTTTGAAAGAGTAGGGATACCGACTCTACATCAATTTGCTTGTCATGATTCTCTGATTAGTGGAGATTTCTCTGCTGAATTATGGGTAATGTCATTTTTCAACAGGAATTTCACTGTTGAACACAATTATTTAAAAAATGATTGCAATCATGTGGACTAATGGCTTCAACAAATGCATATAACCTCGTAGCTCACAGTAGGTTTGTGTTTTGTAAATTATAATTTAAAATCAATTCCCCTACACCCTCAGAAAAATAGGTACAAATCTGTCACTGGTGCGGTAAGGTACAAAAGCTAAAAGGTACGTCTTTGCAACTTACCCCTAAATGTTACATAGTATATAAAAGTACTGTAAATGTACATATTAGTAAAAAGTACCATCCCAGGGACAGTTTTGTACCTAAGAGTGTTTATAGAGAAAAAAGAATGGGATTTTTACTTCCGGAGCCTGACTGTTGCACTCTATTGCTTTACACGAAGCATGCAGTTTTGTAAGGAAAATATAATCTGATTAAGCAATATCACACAAGTGTGGATATTGTGCTGGACTGCTAATTGTGAGACAATATGTCAAGTTCCAGAATACTTTGGGAGTTTATCATTGATCAAGGATGGTCTGGATGTACACAAAAGCCAGACATTGTGAAGGGATGTGAAACACTACCTTCCCGAAAAAGAAGCTTTTGTTAAGGGCTGGTTTCACCCCATCTTTTGAAGAAACGTAAATGAGAAAGGCTAGACATTTTCTCTGAGGTAGGCCTATTGTTCTGACTGAGTTATCCAGCACAATATTCACATTCATTAAAGAAGCACTGCAAATGTTCAAGATCAAATAGAAAACCAAGTGAACCAAAATACTCCAGTGTTCAAACAAACAGGAAGCACCTAAACATCCCCAAATAAGGTAATTGAGTGTAGTAATGGCACTTATTAACGTAGTCTTTGCACATATGTTGCCGTTTTTGTTTAAGAAAACATGTCATTTGAATGATGGAGATCAGCTGAGACGCTCCTCCCAAATTGGGCAAAATGGAACCACTTAAGAGAAATTGGCTACATACTTAGATTGGCATCAGCTCAATGTACACAAAGCGGTAAAATGATGACCCTTCTTGCTTCCTTTTATAATAACATATTAACTCAGCAACAATGTACTGTAAAACATTTATTGCAGGATTATATAGATGAGTTATCGGAAACGTTCTGTGTTTCTGTAAGCATGTTTCCAAAGATGATCTGCAGAATGGGATTTTATAATACTGTACATAACAAATGCCATTTTTACTGTACATTCCAAGCATAATATCTTATACCAGAATACAAATATAAAATACAAATGTATGTAAAAAAAAATTTTTTTTTTAAATCTTAGGATAGAGTTCACACTTGCAGACTGATGTAAAACTGCTTGAGACATTTTGTTTCATACATAAGCAAAACTGAATTAAGGCTATAGCCCTGTTCCAAAACCTAGAGAGCTGCTTCACTATGGCCTCACTTGACTTCAGTTGAAAAAGTAGACAGCAACTTTTGTCTGTTGACATTAACATGCTAACATTAACATGTTGACATTAACAACTAATGTAATGCACTACTAAGCATAAAATACACAAATATGATAAAATAATTCATTTAAATTACATTAATCAATACTTTTCAGTATTCAATAATATGTAAGTTAATTAATAATCAACATTTTTAAAGGGGTCATGACATGAGAAATCAAATTTGCCTTGATATTTTGCCTTGATATTGAAGTCTTTGTACCATTAAAACATCCTGCAAGTTTCATAGCTAAAAACGTCCTCCTCATTATAAACAAAGCATTTATTTAATCAAGCTCCAAAAACAGCTCATTTGGATCTGAATTGGCATGTGACGTCACAAGTGCATTTGCATAAACACCACCTCCATAGCAAGACATTGACAATTAATCATCATCTCACCATAGGCCCCGCCCACTGGCGTTCAATCGCTTTAAACGGCTGTACTTGCCTACACTGGATGCGAGTGTCGCATTGCGTCGTGTCAAATGTAAATAGAACCCAATTTTAATAACTGCCGCTGTCTTGTCTACGCTGGATACAGTATACAAATGTGTGTTCACTTTCTGACAATGTCTATAGGACAAGAGTGAAAGAACGTTTGGTTTTGGTTTAAACAGCTCGTTCGCGTCTTTGAACAGACATCAGAAGGATCCCAGCATCAGAAACAAGCGGATGGTCTATTTTGAATGGCATCCTGGATCGTATCGGAGGATTATACATTTGTTCAGAGCATTTTGTTTTGTAAACGAGGCACAATGTAATGGAGAGTTTGCAAAGAAACAATAGGTTACTGTTTGTAACCCCAGTTCTCTGAAACATCGAGTGGAGAGATCCACCTATGGGAAGGGCATCTGTGTCTGACCCCTGCAGAAGCATCCAATTGCATCAAGTCTGACTTGCCCAATGGCAGGTAAGGGACCGCCCCTTAACCGAACACATAAAACCCCTGCACACGCTACCTTTCCTCAGTGAGCATATTTGCTTCTCGTGCAGCAAGCGGGGCAGACTTGGTGGATCTCTCCACTCGATGTTTCAGAGAACCGGGGTTACGAACAGCAACTTATTGTTCTCTTTCATCATCTCGTGTTCGAGATCCACCTATGGGAGATATAGACAGCTCCCCGGTTACCCAATACTCTCACAGTGAGGCCCTGTAAGTCAGAGAACGGTCACCTGGAAAGGTGGTGTTTGACACATCACCAAGTATCAGAACCCACACAAAGTGAGAATGCAATACCAGCCATAAAAGAAATGACATGCGGTAACATGCATACCAAACCTGACAACACACCTCATGCTGACGGCATATATTATAGATATATTGACATATATATATATATGCATATAAATATATATAATTTGGTGTCAAAGGAGGGTACAGATGACCTGCTTAATGACATGAATAAGCCGAGCTGGACAACTCGGGCTTAAAAGGTGTAGGGTCTAAGGGCACAAGGCTACGAAGAACCCACACCTAAAACTGAATGAGCTACCTGGGTGTGGGTAACATCAAGCCTGCAGTATCTGACAAATGTAGCCGACAGATAACCTCTGCGGCAGTAGCAAAGGACATTTTCCCCCAGGGTTTAGCAGGTGGGGGCTCACTCTGCTGCACCGGTGGCTTACTGCAGAGTCTATGAGCCCTGCCTGCATTATGGGGATGGCGTCCCGTAGCAGGGAGGTTAGGAGGCCACACAGAGAGTGTCTGGCACGGGGCGGGTTTCCTAGGAAGATAAAGTTTGAAAGCCTCATCCTCCTTTTTCTTATCGTCTCAGCGCTGCTGCATTAGCGCGACGACAGGACCAAAGAGAGCCTGGCCACGCTCGACCGGCACTCCAGCAAAAGATTAACACACAGTGTGTGCTCTCTGACCACCGAGAGAGCCACAGAGCGCCCGCACGCTTGGACAGCCTGAGAGGCATTATGGAGAATGAGGTCATTCACTGTGACTATCTCCTTCCAGAGATCGGGTGATGGCGACCCTTTCTCCAGTTGTTGGCAGGAGGCCCCTGGGAGTGCGCCGGAGTCACCTTTTCCCCCATCCGAGTCAGACAATCCCAAGTCGACGCTCTGAGTAGCGGCCACCTTGAGCCTCCGACGCAGGAGCTTCTTAGTAAGCAATGGCTATAGTTCTCCGGGAAATCGATGGCTTCTTGAGAGTGTTTAAGACCCATGCAAACAATGCAAAAGGAAAGAAGATCCCTAGCGGCAATGAGGGTGCCTCACGTAGCCAGGCAGGCTTGCGACTGGTTGTCCACAGGGGTAGCTGGATTCGATTTCGAAAGAGCCATGGGTAGCGGACAGTAGATGGAGTGAGGAAAAGGCGAGGTAAGAGACGGCCAGCCTAGTAACAAGTGCAAGTGTGGGCGGCTTGCAGAATAAAACAGCTGACCTAGTAAAAATGACAAACACGTCTGGCAGAGGCTGATCCAAAGATGTGTCCTCCTGAAGAAGTCAACCAATGAGCTGTGAGTACATTTCCAGAGGTCGCGAGAAGTGAATGTCAATTGAGTAAAAGTAGTGTGTGCAGGGGCTTTATGTGCTTGTTAAGAGGTGGTTCCTTTACCTGCCACTGGGCACGCGCTCCTGTCTGTCAAGTCAAACTTGGTGCAATTGGATACTTTTGCAGAGGTCAGGCACGGATGCCCTTAGCATAGGTGGATTTCAAACATGAGATGATGAAAGAGAAATTTTTGTTGAAAGATGAAGCAGTACTGGGCCTTTCAAAACATTTATTCACATGTAGTATTGAGGGTGTGATACTGATACTGTTTCATATGCAATGATGTTAGCCAATCATAACTGCCAATCATAACAGTGGCTGATTACTGACAAGCCTTAAAGGACCCACTCCTTAAAAATTGATAATTTTTAGACTGAGGGTCAGAATGAGGGTTGAAAATAATACTTTTTCCACATATATATTTGTTTTTTTGTGCAAAATGTCATGACACCTGTAATGCTTCATCCACAATTTTCACTGAGCTTACCGCAACAAATGCTGCCTTAGAATTTGGCTAAAACAATGTGTTTTGGGAGGCTTCGTGTCTTCGCATCAAGGGGTGCGTATTTGATAGTTTACAAGGTTTTGTAACAGAGCATGTGTGTGGTAAGTGACATCAGTTGATATCTCATAACCACAACAAGGACTGTATCTAAGTGGATCAGACATTTTTTAGAAGTCATTGTCTATTGTTCATTTGATTAACTGAAAAGGTTTCACTGGCACAAGTGCATAGAGCAAGAGGCACAGGATGTTCTGTGACAACAGTTCTTATGGGTTCCTAAACAGTTGTCTAAGATTATTCGCTTCAACACTGACTACCAGGGTAGTCAATTTTGACTCCCTGATTCTTTTCTTTTGCAGTTGGCTAGCAAAGGGAAAAGCGTCTGGAGTTGATGTTCATCTTGGTGACACCAATGAGGCGCAGTGGTGAAGAGAGGCCAAACCCTGGAGTGACGGGTCCATCACACAAAAGATCCGACAGCTCATCACGCTCCTCCAGACCAAAGGTGGCGTCGTTGAGCATTCGGCGATGCAGGTGACACGTCTGCTCCACTTTGAGTTTGTTGATGTCTCCGCGTAGTCGCATAAGTTGGCGGGCCAACTGCTGGTCCTGGATGCGCATCTCCATCTGTCAATGAATAACAGGTAGGAGAAACTCATTAAGGCTTAATTATACGACTTTGTGCCTCCTCAAATTTCATAGTGAATATTATGAAGCACTTACTGAGACATTATGAGACAGTATTTCCTTATTTTACACAGTCAAAGGTTTAGATAGGGGATTCTCAACTCTGGCCTTTAAGGTCCACTTTCCTGTAGAGTTGCTTTACTGTTCACTGTTTTGCTGTTTACTGCATTGTTTGCATTGGTGTTGTTGTTTGTTGATCTTTAAAGTTACTTTGTGTCATTTTGTATTAACTGTGCTTTTGTATGTAGTTGTTCATGGTTTGTAGGTTAAAATCAGACTTTATGCTCTCCACCAACACTATTGACAGCCAGCATCTATGACTTTAATTATAAGCAGAATACATCAATGGTAACAGTTTTTCATTTCTACATTTTGTCATTACTCGAGAAATACTCACTTTTAACGTTTGAGACAAAGTTTTGAGAACATTTGAGTACTTTTTACAATAAAATACTATTTTAGTTATTCTACTTCAAAATTTCACATTTAATTCAATGTTACTTGCAATTTCTTTGTAATTAATTGTGAAAATTACTAGCAATTTTGGAGTGAAAATTGTTTCTACACTGTGATGACAGCTTCATTTCAGTCTTTAGTGTCACATGATCCTTCAGAAATCATTCTAATATGATGATTTGGTGGTCATAAAATCTTTGTTATTATTATCAAAACTGTGATGCATTATTTCCCAGTTTCTTTGATGGCAATACAAGTCAAAGAACATTTATTTTGTAATATAAATCTTTTGTAACATTATAAATGTCTTTACTGTCACTTTTTATTTAATTTTTGACCATTTGGATTTACCATTTAAATAAACATGGGCATTTAGATCCGTCTTTGTTAGCAAACATGCTTTTGTCCTTTTCACATAACAAGGGGCTCAAAATTAGGGGAGGTGATATGGATCTTCAGAAATCCTTTTGTACCGCAATTTGCACTGTTTTTGTTATTGTGTCCAATTTTCTTTGTGTAAATGTTTATGGACACACACAAGGCAAAGGCAGTGGAAGAAAGGCCTCTGATGTGGTGAAAGGAGCCTCATTGCATGCCTTGGCTGTAATGGCCTGTGCATAAAAGTATGTCTTGAACCCAGAGGCGGACAAAGTACGTACAATATTTGTCTTTCAATTGTAGTGAAGTTAAAGTCATAAGTTCCCAGAAAAAATAATACTCAAGTAAAGTACAGATACTCAAAAAGTGTACTTAAGTACAATACTCAAGTAAATGTACTTAGTTACTGTCCGCCTCTGCTTGAACCACATGGCTGAGTGGAAGAGAAGTGATTATACTTAGAGGAACAGAGAGTGATCGCCTCTCATGCTCATCTGCTCGCCATCTTTTCCACTCAATTTAACATGAATGGCAATCTTGTGCAGTGATGTGGTAATAAAGCCCTGCGCATTCACTCCATTGTTTCAGTCAAATTAGCTAACTAATGGGGATGCTGTTCATTTTCTTATCTTATAGAAAGATGACTGCAAAATAGCAGCAAGTATTTTGAAAAATCTAATTTGTGAGAAGATTATAATGACAAATACGAGTGTCTATCTCATTAAAAATACTTTAAAAATACAGTTTAAAATGAATTGTGTCGATTAAAAAAATTTAAGAAAAAAATACACATGAATGAGTGTTCATAATCATTTTTGAAAACAATTCAAATGTTTTAAAAATCTATTTTCAAGGTATTTTTTATTTATACAAATATCATAAATTATGAATGAATTTTTTTAATATGATATTAATTATACCTTTTTTGGGAGTCACACCACATGATATCCACATGATATTTTTTATCCTTATATTTTTTCCCCTTTTTTTGTGGGGGGTTTTTCATGCTGGTTAATAATAATAATAATAACACTTTTTTATTTATATAGCGCCTTTTAAGAACCCAAGGACACTTACAAACAAGTGATGGACACCATATGAATATTTGGCATATAAAAGGAAATGACTTATTATGGAAAGGACTTATTATTTTAAGAAATAATAATAAAAAAAAAAATTAAAAAAAAGATTATGCCAGTCTATGTAATGAGCTTTTCTTCAAGAATTTCGTCCTTTTAAATATTACATTTTATTACCCTGATGTTTTTGGCTTAATACTTCTCAAAAAGTAATAAAATTAACTGTATGCAATTTCAATTCAGAAATAATGCAATTTAACTTCAGTCAACAGATGGAGATGTTGAAACATTTTGACTTACCAGTTCTTTTCTAAGCCAAACAAGAGCTTCGTCAATATTATCAAACCCTCCAAGGCTTCTGGAAATCAGGGCATTTCCTGCAGTCACTTGGGGATTCTGAGGTGTGACGCTGGGCTTCAGTCCAACACTTTTCTCCAGCTCTGATGAGCCCTCTGACACGACTAAACCTTTGGAGCTTTGAGCTTCCACTCGTTCCTTCCACTCAAGATAGGACGGCCTTCTGGTCTCAAGTCTGAGCTTCTCAGTCAATGCTTTCAAGTTTCTCAAATGATCATCTGGGGCAACCTCAAGGCCATCATAGTCCTCTATATTAATCTGAGGTATTGAGCTGGCATCCATGGCCTTTTGAGGAAGTGGTTAGTGTCGAGAAAATAAACAGTGAAAATCAATTTAAGTGGTCAGGTGATGTCATTGCCTTGTTTGATCAATAATGATACAGAAAACTTTTGGATTTGCTTGCAGTAACCAGGATGTTGTGTCTGTGGGACTATCAATTAAATCAGCAATGCAGATACTGAGCTTCCATTCTTCCAGCAGTATCATCTCCGTAGCGTAGCCATCCTAACACATCTTGCTTCTTGATCCTTTCCTTCAATAGAAACAAACTTGGTTACCTTTTTATCATTTAAAGTTTTAGGCCTAATATTTAAGATTTATCCATTTTAATGGCATATAAAATGTCCATACTTTTCAATTTGACAGTTTTAACATAAACAAGTAGTACACTTAATGTGATGCATATTTGTCAGTCATACATAAACGAAACCAGTACGAATGTATGTCATAGTACCAAAACTATAAAAGATGCATAATAACCAGGTTTAAATATTTATAATCTATTTATTATTTTTATTAATAACTATTTATAATTATTCTTTTAACGGTTTAATCAAACATTTTAAGTACATTAACTAATTGATCATACTTTTTGAGTGATTCAGTTTATATGTTTTCACAATTAACATATTCATGCTGATTCTAGGGAATTTTAATAATGTATTTTGAATATATGATTATTTAAATAAAATTAAACACAAAATGGTTTTTCGAAGTTGTAAGTAAAAGATTATTGGAGTGTTTTACAAGAAAATACGTTTTTTTCTGCTTCAAAATGTCATGCTTAACACAGTGGGTTACTTGCTCTTTCCTTGTAATTGTTTGTGAAATTTACTAGCAATTTCTGAGTGAAATATTATTTGCTACACTAATTCTTTTTTTGTTGTAGATGCCAATACCTATTAATAAACTATACCATGACTACTTTTTTAGTGTAAGTGAAAAAGTATATAAAAGAAAGAAGAAAAAGAAATTATGTATTTGATAAGATTATTTGGTTTTAATTTGCAAAACCAGAAGCTATTCTTCTGGAGTAAATCATGGTTAAAATGGAAAGTTTACTGATCACATCGACGATTTCCATCCATGCCTCATATCACACTGTGGATCTTAGAAAGCTGGCGGTTGCCATAGCAACTAAACCCAGCCTATGAGTCAGCAGCACTGAAGACTGTCTGCTCTAAAGAACTAAATGTCACTCCTCACTACAGCAGCCAGACCTGTGACAATCACCAAAGAATATAATGCTGCTCAATTACAGCCTCTCATTACTCTAATACAGACAAGCAAAACTACTGCTGAGAAGACAATCACATGAAGTTCTGTTTCACGCCACAGCATCAGCACTGTGCTTATAATGGAATTGATCTCAGGACCACCCACATTTTTCATGCTTTCCTGCAAAGCTGTCTGTCTAATGTATGTGTGATATAATGTTGGGCACAATGCCTTGACGTATTTCATCATCCCAGCTGCTCTAGGAATGTGTTCTTCCCATAAGAGGCGTGTGCTGGTTGTTAATTGGCCTCACATTAACCTCCACACGGCTGCGGGACTAATCACACTCCTAAAGTCTCGGCTCATTGAGCACTTTGCTCCACCTTCCACACTTTTCCAGCTCTGTGTGTGGCAGCAGTAATGTGACTCATCTCACAGGGGGATCCATTCACCCCAGACCACTCTCACTTTAGTCTGACAAAATGTGCTTCTTAGGGACTAAATACCTAGACTTTAAAATATGAGGCAACTGATGATAATTCATGGTGAAATAAGGGCTCCACAAAAAGAATGAAAATACAGTATGGAATGTAAGAAACAAATTTCAGCATGAATATATATATAAAAGCCTGTAGCATGATATTTATCAAGAGACTAAACAAGCTTTGCAGGTTTTGCTTTTGCGCTTACTTGATATAATAAAATATAAATAAAACAATAAAATATAATATAATGCGGTAGCACTTTATTTTTCAGTCTTGTTCTGCATGTGCACACTATGTATTTATTAAATTGTACTTAATATAATAACCTGGAAAATTTCTCTTTTCATGAATAATATTGGTTTTGAGTGCTGTATCTTTCCACACTACTTTTTCCAGACATATTAAATGTTCTTTGGGCTAAACAGACAGTTTGGAACACTAGGCATGACTGCATTTATCCATGTCTAATTAGATGCGGTGAACCTTACTGTCGTATATCTGGAGTGCAAATCTTGGTTTCTCAGCATAAAATGATTGTGCTATTTGGAGTGAAAATGAACTATTCTGGCCAGAATCTCAATTCATGACCAGTATTATTGGAATAATGCCGTGATGACTAACAACTTTCCGTTCAGCTGTTAGTTGTGTAACAGCATGTAACAACATTTCTTTGATTATTACCAAATAGTTTATTTATTACACGTCACATAGCAATGATTAACTAAATACAGACTAAATGAAAACCTATTCGGGTGTTGAATAACTCATGTCTAGACAATTCAGAAACATGACATTTGTTTACTTTTCTTTTTTTTTAAAAAGACAATAACTTCATAAAAGTTGTTACTTTAAAATGCACCATCTCAATCAACCTATTCATGGTCGGTGAATGCAACTGATTAGAATGAAACATCATGAAGCAGATACATCCTGCGTAGAAAAGTGATTTAGGCTGTTGAAAGTCATCTAAAACTTACTGCACCCTGTGGGACAGGCATTAGCCAGTTCAGTAGTGACTCTTAAAGAATATTTTAATATTTTATCTAGTTTATATGGGCTTTAGAGAGTCTGGACACTCTCTTCATGCAGATAGTATTAAGGAAAAGATTATTCTTACCTTCATAGTAGTTTGTCAGGCACTTGCACCCCTCGCGTCCTGCTCTACTGGAGAGCACAATAACACTGCTTTTACTCCACACTTGGTTCTTGAATGAGATGAGAGACTTGAATGGAGGAGGGGCGTACGTTGCGTCAGGTTGTGGTTGTCGTGGAGACGGTAAAGAATCTGCACAAAGCCGCGAGTACAGCATCTTTCACAGCGAGGAGAGGCCAACTAGCACTCCTACAAAACACTTGTACTCTTGCATGTTAATTACAATTACATAAGAAATATTAATTATCATAATAAGCTACTTCAAACATTTTACAAGGCCTATCTTAGATCTACTTCCACATTCTAACTATTTATTTATAGAACTTCAGATAGACCTTCAGAGAATGCATGTAATGTGCATTTCATTTTATTTAAAAAGTAGAAGGTCCAGAAAAGTAAAAGACCACATTTTGTCGTGATATCATCAGGTCTATTTCCAAATACTTATTATTCAAGACTCTGGAAATGCATAAATGGTTAATATTCAAACTGCCTATTGATGACCATGTATTATGTTATGTTTGTGTGACCTCTGGTGGAGAATGTTCATAATGAAACTTGCATTAGTCATATTCTTTTTTCATAAACGGTATGAAAATGTCTTATCACAATTATAGTGACCAAAATGATCACGGTTATCAGTATTATTACGGTATTGCGCAAATGTGCTGGACATTTTCAAAAAGCACTGACACATAAATCGCTTCACCAAATTTTATACTTAAAATCAACAAACAACAAATAAAATTACTTTTTATTTGCATAAACCCTAAAACAATAACATTGCCAATGATGTCTGGATTTTAAATAGCAACATGATGACAACAGTTTATCTAATAACAATTACGAAATGTTCAAATAAAGCTTTGAAAAAGTTTAATAAAAAATAAACCTCACAGTTCAGCCTTTAAATAAAGAAAAGGGTTGTCAAAATGATAATTGATTAATAAATGATTATATGTATTTTATCTGCTCCATAAATAATTCTAGATAGCTTATCCGAATTGTTTAAATGTGTACAATACACATAAGCTTGTTTTTCATCAGCTGGTCGAAATTTACAGCCGGGCATGCAAATTTGGTCCGTTTTTTGTCCAGACAAAAACTGCTCACAGGCTGAATGTACAGTAAATGTAACTCTGTAAATCCACTCTCTGACAGCAGGTGGCGCTGATGGAACAGCAGAATAATGTCAGTTTTATATACATTCTAAATCATAAACAACTTAAAGGCATCTTCTAAACGTCTATTTGACATCTGATAGGAAACGTCCTATAGACTTATTGCACCAGCAAGCACTCTAAAAAGTCTTGCAGATGTAAATGCAGACGTCAAATAGACATCTCTGTGATGTACATGTGCCATCAGGGATTAAAATTATATTGTACACAACAAAATGTAACTATTTAGAATGACAGTAGATGATTTGCATTTACGACTATCATTTAGACTTCAGTAGCCATTAGCCTAACAAATATTATTACACACTAACAAACTATTAAATAAAAATAAAATGAATAGTGTTGTTGTTAGCGTTTAGCGCTGATGATTTTTTCCAATGGCTTCTCCTTCTCCTAATGAGATTCTTTTGGTGAGAGAGAAATAGGCGGGACTTCCTGTGCTCGACCCTGTGTTTATTTTTTGCAGAGCCCAATATCGTCCACAGAGGTAAGCTGAACGTTTACTTGCATGCATACACACGGGTTAGATTCGTTTAATTGCAAATGCATCTGTTTGCACTGTGAAGGTGCTTGATATCGGAGAAGTTTTCATAATGTATTGTAATGACATAAAGCGTTGTCATAGATCATGCAGTGCGCTAACTTGAGATAAACGGTTTTCCTTTCTTTTACAACAGCTGCCGTTGAGCGGAGAAGCACACTGGTTAGTTGAGGATAGTGTTATAGAATATTATTTTAGACCCAACAGGGATTGTTTTGTAGATGTATTTAAAAAGAAGGACACCAGTGAAGCGAGCGAGCGGCGTGACAGGTGACAGAAATGCGCTGCATTGTGTATGATGATGTCATCATCTTCCATTTTTACTGACGCACTGTACAATTGAACGATTTTGATACATTTGACACCCGTTTAAAGCATTTATAGTTCGAAATGTATCCAGTTAGTTGTTACATTATGTATAAGAAAAATGCACCTGTTAACTGAGCAGGCGCGCTGAAAGTAGGCTGCACTGCCATGACCGAATATGACATACATAACCGTACATACATGCAGTGCCATTCAGAACAATGCGCGACCGATTCCATTCTTTTAAAGACAGATACAAGCGGATTTTTAAAAAAATAAAATAAAATAAATTGTTTTTTTTTTTTTTTTTTTGGCGAGTCATTGTTGTGTATGTTTTTTTCTCAACATTTATCTTTTTATTTTATTTTACTCTGAGTCAAATCTTTTGCCGAGCTGCATTCTCCTGTGTGAAATCATTGTAATTTTTTGTAAAACTGTGGTTTACAATAAAATATATTATACAATAAAATATATTATAAAATATAGTAAAGGGAAAATATAAAATAATAAAGTGAAAATAAAATATAATAAAAAGTAATAAAAAGAAAATGTAATAATATAAATCGACAATATTTTTCATATTTACCTTTTTCATTTATTTTTAATAAAAAACATTTTTTGTTTATAGTGGCCGTCTTTTAAAATTTCCATATCGATCTTTTCAAGCTGCATTCCCCTGAGATAAATCATTAATTGTTTTTTAATATATTAATTAAAATGTTAAAATATTAATCAGAAACTGTTAACACATTAACTTAATTGCCATAATCAGATTAAGCCAATATTCTGGTTTCTAGAAATATATATATATATATATATATATATATATATATATATATATGGAGAAACTAGTTTTTAATTACTTTAAAAACATATTACAAACTTTGCGTAACAGGAATACACTTTTATGTGAGTGTGTTTATATTAAATTAGAAATTAATGTGCATATTTTAATTTATTTGCAATTTGTTTATTGTATGTACACCAGAATTCCACTAATAAAGTTTTACCCACACTAAATGTTTACCCATCACAAAATTATGTGCATGTAAATGTGGTCAATGGTCGAAACTTTCTTTCATGCCTACAATGAATTTGCTTTTTATAGGTCTCCCTTTAGTAGAACATCTTACATCATGCCCGACCTCTTAGTGATTAAGAGCTGCTTCCTGAGTTGCTTATTAATATTGCTTCAGACATCAAGCTCACAGCAGGACGAGCAAAGCCAGCTGCTACTGGTGTCCTTTGATGGCTTCCGCTGGGACTATGTGAATCGAGTACCCACACCCAATTTCCGTGCCCTGATGGATGAGGGTGTGCAGGTGGAACAAGTGGAAAACACCTACATCACCAAGACCTACCCGAACCACTACACCTTAGTGACAGGATTACATGCCGAAACCCACGGCATTGTTGCTAACGAAATGTATGACCCCATTCACAACCGCTCCTTTTCTATGGAGGGACCTGAAGTGTATGATGCATGGTGGTGGGAGGAAGCTGTGCCGTTGTGGGTCACCAATCAAAAGGCTGGGCGGAAGAGCGGAGCTGCCATGTGGCCTGGATCAGACGTAGCGATTGGTGGAACGTTCCCAACACATTACTTGAGTTATAATGCGTCAATGCCATTTGAGACCCGAGTCGACCAACTCATTGACTGGTTCTCAGGGCCAGAGGCCATCAATTTTGGTGTCTTGTATTGGGAGGAGCCAGATGAGAGTGGGCATAACTTGGGGCCGGAGAGCCCACTAATGGATGTAGTCATAGCAGACATCGATGAGAAGTTGGGATTCCTCAGGGAAAAGCTCAAAACCGCTGGCCTTTATGACAAAGTCAATCTCATCGTTACGAGTGATCATGGAATGACACAGTTATCACATGATAAGATTATTGAGCTGGACACCTACGTCAGCCGTGATCTTTACACATGGATAGACAAGAGCCCTGTAGTTGGTATTTTGCCAAAAGAAGGTAAGAATGAATATAAAGCATTTTTTTTATTGCTCATTACACTAGTCATGTAATTGGGTGTTTCTTCCACTTCCTTCTTTTTCTTTAAATTAAATAAAGATCACATTAATAATGTATTGGAAAGTTTTACCATGCCTTCATCTTGTATTTTTGTTACTTTTCAAAGGCCTTTTTTATTTGGTATCGATTTTATTGTTTTTCTCTTTTCCAAACCTGTGACTTCAACTATAAAAATCCATCATAAAATATGAATCATTAAAACTATGAAAATCTAAATGATGTTTTATTAACAAGGTTCGGGAGGAGCACGATCAGATAATCAACCAATTTGGCACAGGTGGAGCTTGTCTAGTTAATCATGTTAACTAGCACAATACGTATATATACAGCCAACTTACCTCTGTCCCACGACAGTTTTCCGGCATCCCTCCTCCACTCTTAACTATTCTCATCCCAGATTAGGGATGGGGGAGTTCTCTGGGTTTGGGCTATATTCCGAGCTCGGAGCCCTCCCTCAGGACAGCACGCCAAATATCCCTGCAAACAAGCCTGCACTGGCCCTTTACGGGCTAGCCTTATGGCCCCCAGTGGGCTGCCAGCGCAGGGCCCCTGAGAATTTGCTCATTGGCAAAACGTTGGCCCCTTAGCGCTGGCCCTGCACGGGCAGCCCTGACTTAGCCCCCAGGAAGCCCTCTATATGCCCACACAGGGCCCGCACTATTAATCTACAACAACACATCGGTTTCACTTTAAATACTTTCCAGCTACTATAAATAAGTTTTTGGAAAAAACAGTTATTATACATCTGAAATGGATGCAGTCACCACATAACTAATGTCTGTATTGTCAAAAATGTACAGTAGTCAAAGGGATTTCAAATCAATTTATTAAATACAAAATAGAAAACATTCAATTCAGGTTAATACAGCTACATATAGCCAAGAATGTAAATACACAAAAGTACAAAAAAACAGAACAAAGCAATGTAAGACTGTAGGATTTCGTCATGTGGAAGTTGATGTGTGCGAA